TTTCGCACTCTTTCGAAGCCAACCTGTGCAGGTCTCTCGAGCTCTTCCAGGCCTCGGCGTCGACTCACCCCCGTTGTCCCCCTAAGCGCCCGAACCCCTTCACCCGAGCCTCCGAAGCTAGAACCCTAGCCCCCACCCTGCGAGTCCCCCGCGTGTCTTGTCTCGGGTTTTCTCGGTTGTCCCTAACTCCCGAACCCAGTCGCCCGAACCCCTAGAACCCTAGCCATACTAGGCTGCCCTGCGAGTGCCCTGCGTGGAAAATAAATAAATAAATAATGAATTAATCATTTATTTATTGTTTTCGGGCCAGCCCGGCGCTTGTCATTTTTGTCATTTTTGTCATTCCTTCGGTCTGTACCCAGACGAGCCAATTAATTAATTAATTATTTATTTTTTGTTTTCGGGCCAGCCCGGAGCTTGTCATTCCTGTCATTCGGCTTGGCGGCTCAAAAAACGTAAACAAAACCACCATTTCCTGCCCGCCCGGGCAATGACAGGAATGACAAGAATGACAAGCCCCAGACCGGCCCGAAAATAAAAAATAAATAATTAATTAATTACCCTGGCGGGGCTATTGACAGCCTTGGGTCTGTACCCGGAGGAGCTAATTACTTAATCATTTATTTTTTATTTCCGGGCCAGCCCGGAGCTTGTCATTTTTGTCATTCCTGTCATGCCTTCGGCCTGTTCCCAGACGAGGTAATTAATCAATCTAAGCATCATGCTGGTTCCTCGGCCCTTGCGGAAGGAGGTGCATGTATGCCAACAACAGTTCCCTGGCTTGGTGAAGCAAAGTTCTGGTGCTAGGAGTTTGATGCATGAAGCGTGGTTGACAAGGCAGGAGTTGCTCCCATGACCAACAGCAGCTGTTGCTAGAGTCGAGATTGTTCTTGTCGAGCAGGTTCCCTGCATCCGTTCATGAGCGCGCAATCGCTGAAGGCAACAAGCCGAAGCAAACAGTCGACAGCTGTGAGCGCAGCATCAGCCGTGACATCGATTGGACAGGCGTTTACCGGCCAAGAGCACGTCAATGCCCTTAACTTTGCGTCGACATTGCAATCAGACGATGCCGGAAGGTTCTGGTTGGTGTTGTTTGTCGAATGGCAAAGTTGTCAGTTTCGAGTTTGTCAGCGTGCAGGCGCTTGCTGCCGGACCGACAGCTAGACTTGGGTCAGCCAGGATGGATGGGTCTGCGGCATGCACCTCGCAATCCAGCATATCAACTTTTGTGCGTGTTGAGAAGGAATGTTTACGCTACGAACTTGACGGACGAGCTGCATCCAAGGAATGGGTGATCCTTTTTCAATGTGTACTTTGTCTTCTGCTCTTGGATTTTTTGGCAGGTTCCCAAGTCTTTGTGCTTGTGTTTCCCGTGCAGAAGTCAGAGGTGGTCGCACGCTCCCAGGTGCTGCGGAAAGTGAAGTCCAACGTTCGCAATCATGTGGCGCTGACAGTGGCCCCAATCAATATTGCGTTGCAAGAGAAGAGGGCGCCAGGTGTACTTTACTTGCGGGTGTCATGCTGTCTAGAGTATTAAGAACAGCCGCGTCTGTCACAACATGACCAAAAACAAACACACACACACACACACGCGCACACGTTTTGGATTGAAGGCATCGGTTTGTAGAATGAAGTTTGTAGTGCCTTCCAGATTCAGTTTGCATGAGGTGTTCTGGCTGAGCATCGGCATGCTCTACAACGTGCACATCTGGTGCTTTGCTTGCAATGTAGTTTTTTTGGGGTACTTTGATGTCGCTTCCGCGCCCATCTGCTTAAGTCTGCTCCTTTGTCTTAGCAGGCGGCAACGAATGCATACAATGCAGGAACGATACAATGAATGTCGACCATTAAAAATGTGACGGACTGATGCAGCGAGCGTGGGTGAGCCACCCGCAAAAGCATCACACCGGGGCTCAGACGCTGCATGGATTCGACTCCAAGCGCATTTTTATGTAGACAGTCACTTGCGGAGAACCTGTGCAAATACCACGAAGAGCAGTCATTTCCAAAGTGCGTGTCGTTGAAGTCCAAGCGTCCAAGGCTGACAGATCAGCTGTTTCACTGGTGCACCTAGGTACCTGTATGGTGCAGATCAGGCAATTTACTGGTTCAGCGGCTTCTCCCTAGAATGGATGCTCCTCGTTCTGGATTAGCTTAGGACGACGTTACCCTTGTCGACAGCAGAGCATCATCTCCACCTTGCGACCTGAGGCTTTCCATGGACAATTTGGTGGTGTTCAGCCTCATCATGACGACATATCGCGTGCCGCCATCCTTGACTCGCAAGGCAGAGCAGAGCGTCTTTGCGTGCAGAAGTTGTGCGCCCGAATGCGGATCTCTGACAGGCCCTGTTTGTTGGCATCGTGGGTTGTGTCCTCATGAGGCTTGTTTTTTTTTGGCAGCTTGGACTGAACAGAAAGTGGGTGAGGTTCCTATTGCTGCTCACAGGGGCGGCCTGCGAGCAGTGTTCTTATGTCTGATGCCACAGCAGGGCTGGTTCAACCTCTCCCGGGGCCCAGCAACCACAGATCAGTTTCCTGTATTTTAAGTCGCTATACACGACAACTGACAGGAAGTGTTTCAGTCGTGTCTGCCGTGACCCAGAGCAAGGCTTCACCTACAAACCGTGCTTTACTGCAGAATTGAAAGCTTGCCTCCCCAACACGGCATTTGCTTCGTGGGTGCCGCGCCTATACACATGTCCACTTTTGGATTCAATTTTTGCGGACATGCCTTTTTATCCGGCAGCGTGGAAGAGACTCAGATTCTGGAAGACGTGCTCAAACACGAGAAGGTCCTGCAAGTTGGCATGGGCATAGTGTCGCGCGGCTGCAATCCTTTAGAGGCTCCGCCTTTCTCTCGACCCCCAGCAAGCCGCTGTCGGACACATCCTAGCAGCTGGACTTGCAAAATTTTAGGCTCGATAGTCAGCATGTTTGCATGCGGGCCGATGGCCTCCCAGTTGCACAGAACAGTTAAAACTTGCAAAAGAAATTGACAATAATTTTCCATAGTTGAACTTGAGAGAAGAGCTCCCGCTGTATGAGGCTAATGGCCAGCGGAGGCCATGCCATGTTCGAGGAAGACAACGAAGGCGGGGTTGTCTACAATTCGTCTTTTCCCATCAGCTGCGAATGTCATCGAGTACAACATGCAATGAGGTGACATGGTGGACACCTACGTGGTGCGAGCAACGAAGGCAAGTGGAGTGTGGAGTCGGAGTGCGGTAACGGAAAAAGTCATTTCTGGTCTCTCATCCCGAGGCCTGTCTCGGGAATCGCTTGGAGGAGCGTTACGACACCGAGACTCACAGGCGGAGCGGGCGGCGGAAGGGGGGCGACAGAGCGGGCGACCGGTTGCAGGAAGAGTTGTCCCTCCTCGTGCCCTCCTCGTGCCTGCAGCAGCTTTCCGTAGCACAGCACATCTCGGCAAGAAAGACCACATCTTTTGAACTCTGCAGGCTTTTCGTTTATCGAGATGGCAAATACAAAGCCACCTTGTATCTCGGCTTGCGGAAACTGCAGTGTCGATGCTCGAGGCGGCTTGCATAGATGAGAGGCAGGATCTGAAGGTGCTACGGAAGTCTGTGTTAATCATGCCATCCAATGATGGCGCTGCACTAAACCATTGATGCTGCCCTTATCAACAGACCCTGTGAGAAGGTTGGTCTTTGTCATCATAGTCTTGGAGTTCACTGATTTGATGTTTGCACTTGACAGTGTCAGTGCAAAAATTGCAGCGGTGCCATATCTGCAACATCAGCAAGCTGTGGTGCGTGTCCTCGCTCGCCCGGCTGCAGCATGAACGCGGCTGGCCCCAACCGATATGCTGAAGCCCAAGGCAAGGCAATCAACAACTGAGTCTTCATGCTGCATTGTCTTGGAGTTCTTAGTCCTCGCGTTTCGAACACCGAATTCCGTCACAAATCCTTGGAGCAACTGACAGCTTACCATCTAGCTCAGGTGCCGAATCAGTTCATTGCCTACAGCTCTACCGTCATGGCAGTCTTCTCTCTTCGTGCCGCATTCTTCCTCGTGCATGACCTCGTGCAACAAGTCGAGGACAGGCAAAAGATTAGCATGATGTCTAACACTATGGCAGAGAGAAAACTACATGCTCCAATTGCATCTGTTCAGGCGTTGAAGAGTCCCGGCTGCCTTCATCAGTGATGTGCAGTCTTTGCCTGGCCTTGAGACGTGAGATCTTTTTGGAGAGGGGGTGGACCGATCTACAAATCGCTGCCTTGGATATCAGTCGTCGCACACTATGCGAAACCAAATCCGAATCCATACCAGTGAACTCGGTCTCTTGGGTGTCAGCTCTGGGTTTGGACAATCCAATCGGTTATTTTGGAGGTTGAGGCTCTGTGCCAGCAGCCTTCTTGAGGTATGGAGTAGCTTTCATTGTCGCGTACATCGGCGTCCAGCTGATTCTGTCAACCTTTCGATACGTTCCAGAATGGAGCACGTGTGTGGTGTCGATGCTGGTGCCTTGATCGAGATTGGGCGTCTGCCTAAATCCTCACAAGCCGCTTATACATCCTTGTCAAACTCTACAGATGCGCATTGTGTTTCTGTTTACAATCCGGCTTTACTTTGCAAGGCTCGCCTGCTGTTTTGACATGAACTGACTTTGTCGAGTGACGGCCAGGTTGTGCTGACATGTCTCGTGGCGCCCTGGAGAATACAAGCAGCTTTGGGTCAGAAATCTCTACTGGTGGAGATGTGTCTCAGACTCAGGCTCGATGCTTGCAGAGCAGGCCCAAATCAGCAGGCTTCGTTCTGTTCTGCGATGTGCAGTGGCTGTCACATGACCCTACATGGCAATGTGCCCTGTCTGGCAGGACTTCCAGATAAAGCCCGATGATGCCCTCGCACTTGTCAATGTGGTTCATGGCTCTGCGGCTGAAGTGCTTGATCATCTTGATCTGTATCAAAAAGAAGATTGGAGGGTTTGAGTTGAAGCGGAAGCTTCCTCTGTTTTTCTGCACCGAGCTGCTTCTTCCTTTAACGGCTTTTGCTCAGATGTGGCTCAGAGACAGTCATCAGAGAGCTCCAAAAAAAAGAGGACTAGGCTCTTGACTTGAAGAAGCCTTTTGTTTCCTTAGGCTGCCTCTTGCCTTGGTCTTGCCTTGCTCGAAGTTTGTTTTCATTTGCCATGGACTTGGAAGATGAGAGCGATCCCGGGCTGGCGGGACTCAGCCCTGAATTTCAGGCCATGCTTGGCGGCTTATCAGGGCACATGGCCTCCGTCTCAAAGATGCTCGAACAGCGTACCCTGCCAAAGGAGCAGGCAAAGGATAAAGACGATGAGGTGTACCTAGACTCGTATGCGGATTTGGCCATCCATGAGGAGATGCTAAAAGACACCGTGCGCGTTGACGCATACGCAGCTGCGATCGAGCACTATTCGAGCACGTGGCAGGATAAGGCCGTGGTCGACGTTGGTGCTGGGACTGGGCTGCTCTCGGTCCTTTGTGCTCGATCAGGCGCTCGAAGGGTCATTGCCATCGAAGCGTCCAGGCTCGCACACTTCTTGCAGCAGCTGGTGGATGCCAACTGTTCAAAGGGAGCCGTCGAGGTTCACGAGTGCCTTGCAGAGGATTTCAGTGAGCAGAATGTTGATGTGATTGTGAGTGAGTGGATGGGTTACTGCCTGCTCTACGAGAACATGCTGTCGTCGGTCCTATCTGTTCGAGATCGATGTCTAAGAAAAGGTGGCCAGATGCTGCCCTCAAAGTGCCGCTTAATGATGGCACCGATTCAGGACAGCTGGCGAAAGGAGAAGCTGGACTTCTGGCACTCCGTCCGTGGCATCGACATGTCCTCACTGGTCCCGCTGGCCACTGCCACTCTTTGTGCAGCACCTCAACATCGTTTGTTGGATCCCAAAGCGCTTTTGGGAGATGCAATCGAGATCCTCTTCATGGATTTGCATACGGTGCAGATTGAGGAGTTGGACAGGTTTCAAGCTGACATCGGATTCACTCTCCCGGCAGGCAGTCGACTGGACGGTATGGTGGCATGGTTTGAATGCGAGTTTGGAGATGTCGGGTGGCAGCTGTCTACCTCCCCGTTGAAGCCTGCAACACACTGGAAGCAGACTGTCTTCTATTTCCGGGATCCAGTTGAAGGTGGTGGAGGCACTGTCATTTCAGGCAAGATAATGCTCGAGCGTCATGCTGAGTTCTCGCGAGGCTACACTGCATCCTTTGAACTGAAGATCCCTGGCCGTAAACCCCGAACAGAGGTCTTCGAGCTTAGGTAGCGAGTCCTGGAGCGCTCCGGGGCAGGCGGAGCCAAATGCGCTCTGTCACTGCGATGAGTGCACAGCAAAAGCAATTGAAGCCCGATGCCAGGCCTCAGCATGCTGGTCAGATCTTCTCCGCTTCAATTCGGATCAAGAGCATCGGACACTCTATGGCCAGTCAAGATTCTGTGGCGCAACTCCTAGTCCTAGTGTTGGGATGGTTGGTTACATGCAGGTTGCGATCTTCATCGACCATTTGCATCATGCAGTAGATGGAGAGGCTCTAGAGGTGTGCGGGTCGCAGATGGCCGCAGAGGATGAAGTCTCCGAGCCATGGAAGCTTGGGACCAGAGTCTGCCTCTCCACTCCCTCTTCAGGCATACATTGGTTCTTACTGATTCCTGCATAACTTCCCTTTGTTCCCACCTGCTCAGGCGAAGCACGCTCAGCAAGCGTTCCACGGATGCATTGTGGATGTTTCCTGTCAAAGCAGAAAGGTGTGTCGTCTCCCGCTTGAGGTCAGCTTGACAGGTATTGTGCGGTTTGTCGGAACGACGCAGTTCGCCCCTGGAGACTGGATTGGAGTAGAGCTGGACCGGCCGATTGGAAAGAATGATGGCAGCTTGATGCTTTGTCTGCAAGTCAAGGGCACGTGTGTTTGGCCCTGAGAAGCCGGGAGCAATGAGAATGCTTGTCAGGAATGGTGTCCGGTACTTCAGCTGCAGGAAGAAGCGTGGGATCTTCTGCAAGCCCACGGCTCTGATACTGCTGGCTGAGCCCGAAGTCGGAACTCCCGTTTCTTGGCTGTGCGCTTCGCTTGCTGCCCGGGGCACCCCAAAAGCCTCCAAACTTGACCGATGCTCAGGAAAAGAAATCCGAAGACTCGGTCGAGAAGTCCCAGACGACCGAGTCGCCAGACGCTATCGAAGCCAGCAGTGGCTTAAGCATTACGGCCGACACGGACAGCGCTCCTGGCGAGGGTGGCTCTCCCAATGCAGCTGCCGGAAGCAAGCGCACTGATCGGGCTGACGAGGCCTGTTCATGTGCAATTTGTGGAGTTGTTCCTCGCTGCTGGCAGCTTTGCATGTCGATGCATGTCGATGCAGGCTCTCCAGTCTCAGCCGCGACAGCTGCAGTTCGAGCAGTCGGGGTTGAAGGCAGAGGTTCTATCTGATGTTTCAAAGCCATTGGTTGCCGATGAGCCCGCCACCGCCACCTGGCCATACCGGGTTCTCAAGACTTGCTCCAAGGCCCCAAGGCCCGAGGCATGTGCACGCGCTCCATTTTGTTAATGGTGCTTCATTTGTTCCACTTCCAGGAGGACTTGGATCGCCTGGGCTGCAAACAGCCCGAAGATGCAGACTTTGTTGGTGGGGGCGATGAAGGTGGTGGCGAGAAAGCAGGCTTGCTTCGAAGCATTGCGGAACATTGCCTGCGGTTGGTTTTGGTTCCTTGATTTCAGATCCCTGATCAGGATCCAGAGACCTCCGGTCGCCGTACATGCGAAAGTTGGCAGGTGCAGACCCCTGGGCCAGTGAGAGCAGCTGTGGGGGATCCATAGTTGTGGCAGAGGAGGCTCCTGCTGCTTTTGTGGTAGAAGTCTAGAGTGTAAATGCGTGTCCCTGGTGGTTTCAAGCCATCTCCCTGCCAGGAGGACCTTGCTACCTCAAACGAAGCGGAGACAGCCTGGTTTGCCAAAGTCCAAGATCTGGCCAAGCGTGGCTTAAAGCTGGGGCATGTTCTGAGCTTCTACCAGAGCTTGGCAGAAGGCACCCTGTGCGGCGATGATGGGCGAAAACTGATGTTGCACTTTAACCCCAAGAAGCATACAACTCATGATGTCGTTCGTGAAGCAATCATCCCTGCGACTAAAGTCACGCCCTTCGGGAGCTGTGCGTACTCGACTTTGGCAGAAGCAAACAAGCCCGTGCTGGCAACGACAATGGTCTCTCACCACTGGCGGAACTTGTTTTGTCACCTGGTTGCAGCCTTGATTGCGTACGCCTTGGGGGAGACGAGCTATGCCGCTACAGTGGATTCATTGGAGGACGGCGACTTTGAAGGCTTGCGTCAGCGACTCGATCGTCGAGATGCGCTGCACATGACATTCTGGTTGTGCTTGTTCTGCGTCAACCAGCACGCGAGCATATGTGGTGGTCTACCCTCTGCTCCGGCACCATCTAGTCCAGAAGAGCATGTCAAGGCACTGGAGTATCATCATAGAGAGACGCATGATCCAGTTACCGGAGAGAAGTTCAAAGTTTGCGATTGTGGTACCACCAAACACTGGAACAACTCGACACTCTGTGAAATGGTTCCTCGGATCTTTAGCAAAAGCATCTTTTGTCGCGGCAGGTTAGTTGCTTGTTGCGGGCTGTCGGCAGTTGGACTGAGGACAAGTTTGATGCCATGATGGCAGTGTTGGACAAGGAGGTGCCTGGTGCTATTCAACGGAAACTGGGTCACATCATCGTGGTTGACCAGGCTTTTGAAGTTTTCTCCCGCATCTGGGTCATGGCTGAGATCGCCAAGGGGCAAGAACTGGAATTGAACCAGGTCGCCATGCTGTTCCCGCCTCCAGAGAGAATGAAAGCGGCCTCTCGCAGGAGCTTGGTGCCAGCCAGTGCTGCAGCCGAGGTTGCACGTATTCGGGAAACATTGGACATCCGCAAGTGCAAAGCTAGCCGGCAAGAGGATGTTGATGCAATTCTGGCCTCCATTCCAGACGTGGACAAGTCTAACGCGCATCTAAAGACAGTGCTGTTCAACGAAAGGTCAGGCATTTTGGAGACATGGAGTGCAGAAAGGTGCGCTGGATTTTTCGATGTTATCGACCCGCTGAAGGAACTTGTGGAGCGAGAGCACTGGAGTGCACCACAGGTCATTATGCTTGGTCAGGAGAGCACTGGTAAGTCCACGCTGCTGGAAAGGCTAACAGGTCTGCCCATTTTCCCCAGAAACGCCGACCTTTGCACCCGTTCCCTCATTAAGGTGTGCTTGCGGAGGGGGCCCTCTCGAAAGTTGAGATTACTTGTGCAAGACATCCTGTCGCTACACTTCGAGGACGAAAACGGAACGGAAGTTGACTTCGACGAGCTGGGTGCTGCTGTGATGAAGGAAATGACACGGCAAGTTCGGCTTGAGGCTTTGAGGCAAGACATGCCGAACAAGGACCCTGGCTTTTATTCTGCCACAGTCAGCGATGCACCGTTGCAGCCGTCGGATGGACTTTGCACAAAAAAGGCTTTGGTCATTGAGCTCAGCTCACCGAAGGCACCAAATTTGGACGTCGTGGATTGCCCAGGTTTGGTTGCGGCTTCTGCCAGAGGTCGTCCGGCAGATGTTGCGCAGGAAACTGCGGGGCTGGTGAGAACTTTTGCCAAGAAGCATCGGAATTCCGCCCTATTCGTAGTTGCTGTCAAGGCATCAGAGCAGCCGAACAACTCCTTGGCAATGCGTTTGGTGCAGGAGCTTGGGCTTGAAAGTCGAGCTCTCGGTGTGTTGACCATGACAGATGTGCTGACCGGGGACCTGACAGATGGAGAGACCTGCCTGCACAGCACATTCCTGAAGCATCATGGCCCTCGGCTCCTGCAGCTCTTGCAGGGAGCGTCAGATGCAGGTGGTGGAGTGCCTCTTGCACTGGGCTACACGCTTACCGCTTTGAACGATGTTGGTGAAGATAAGGGGTGGTTGAGCCTGTCGCGGGTGGATGCAATGGCACAGTGGGAAGTAAGATACTTTAAGCAGCTTGCGACTCAATGGAAAGCAGGCGCTGGGGAGGATTTCAGCAGTTTGCTGCAAAGCAGAACCACCTGCAACAGTCTTTGGCGGCACATCAAGGATGCCGTGGATGACTTCGTCCGCAACAATTGGTTAAGTGACACCGTCAAATTGGCTCGCGAGCACGAGGCACTAACGGCAGCTCGCGAACAGTCTTTGGGCCAGCCGAGGGCTATGGCTCCACACCACGTTGCAGAACTTCGCTTTCAGACTGACCTGCTTCCTGCTTCCCTTCGTGCTGTAGCTTCTTTTGAAGACGAGGGCCCTGAAGCCATCAAAGACGGGCAAAGAGCTTTATCCAGTTCCTTGATTCCAGAGATATTTGCCAGGCGTTTTCAGGCGATCCTCGGAAGTGTGCTGGCGAATCCTTGGCAGATCGGCGGTTTCTACCACAGTTTGGTACAGCGGCTTGAGCAAGACCTGTTGAGTGCAGTCCCGGAAGACATCGCCCTGGGGCCGCCCGAGGCGGGTACTTTTGACTGGCCGAAGCAGCTTGAGGTCTGCTTGCGCAAGGTCGAGCACGAGATGCTACGTGCTGTGGTTGATGTAAGGCAACATGTGCAAGCCAAGCTGGATGCCGTCCTGCAGGCAGACACCACACCGGAGCGCATTGGACGAATGAAGCTAGCGATAGAGTCTCTGAAGACTTTGCTGTGGCAAGACATGAAGATGTATGACTGCCCGGCCGGGGAGGTACTATTCTCGACATTCCCGTTGAAAGGCATTCACGAAGCACTAGGCATTGTCGGTCAGCTGGAGACATGCCCGTTCGCTCGTGTAGAGCGCCTGACGTCTGCCTTTAGCTTCTCGCTGAAGTTGGATTCGAGGCAGATTGTATCGCGCTGCAGTCTTCACTTCCATCGTTTCCTGCAAACCTTCTTCACGGAACTGCCAGCGCATGTGGTAAACGCATGTAAGAAGCTGCCAGATGACCAGTGGGTTGAGGACTGCACAGAGGAGCGCTTGAAACTCCTGCGTCATTTGCAGACCCTGCGATTGGCCCAAGCTCGCCTGAAGGATGCGTTTGGAGAGGATCAGATTGAAGAAGCAGTGGAGGAAGTGACGCGGCAAGATGACAGCTTGGCAGTGCCAAGCAGGCAGACCGACGAAGACGCTTGTGTTGCCACGGCCGCGTCCCGAAACGCGGAGGAAGTGGCTGCTGCAGTTGCGACATGGAAAGAGACTCTGCATGAACGTGCATGGGGTTTCTTCTCCTCTGAGGATGAGCTCAACTCAGTCCTGCAGCAGGTAGCCGCGAACACAGATGCAGGTACCGATTTTCGGGAAGGAGGGGCGCATGTTCTTTGGCGTGGCGAGTGCACCGGATCGGAGCCTGTTCTGTGGATACAGCGCGACGATGCACCTGCAACACAGACCTACGTAAACCGTGTACTGGCTGCTCTTTTCGTGGATGATGAATCTTTCGCCCAACTGTCGACATTGCCAAAAGAACCCTTCCGAATGACATGTGGCGATCAAGGATGCATTAATCTGATGCATCTCTATGTGCCATAGTCGATGGTGAAATTTGCGGATCATGCCACGGGTTGCGCCACGGGCTTCTCGCACATTGCGCTTTTACACTACCTGAAAGAGGAGAAGCAGAGTTGGCTCTAGACCCTAGTATGCTTGAACGTTTGTGTTTTTTGGCAATAACCCTCGCCACCCCAAGCCGCACTCTTAAATTCTAACTCCTAACTCCTCAAGCTTTACAATCCAGCCTGCTTTCTTCCCTCTGAGGATTTAGGGCTTGGGATTGTTTATGGTTCGGGTCTAGGTTCTAGACAACAAGCAGGAAGAACGGTGGCCATGCTTCAGCCGAAGGTGGCTTTGGCGGCTCTGTGGCTCCTGGAGTCCTTGCAACGGAAATGCCACATTCCGACGCTGGACTTGCTTTCCTTGAGGAACAAGGTCCAGCAGAATACGGATAGCTGCTCCGCAGAAGCATTAAGTACTCCTGGGGACGATTTGCATCATGTGCATACTCTCAGTCAGGCGGGGTCAGCGTAGGGATTCTGGGCCACCGCTGCTGTTGAGGGCAGTTCCTCCTCATCACGGAGAAGTATGACAACCTGTGGTGCAGGATCAACCGCTAGATGTCGAGTTTTACCTGCTATCACTATACAGGCGAGGCTTGGATGAACATTAGTTTGTTCACTTTGTCTTTCGTGCTTAGCCTTAGCCTTCACGATTTTCGTTCATACGCTTGCCGGCTGCCAGTCGGCTATTCAGACATGTTGCCTGGTGAGATCTAGGCCAACAAGCTGCAAACGGACGCAGCGCGGGGTGACGCCGCGAAGCGTCGCGAAGCGTGCTGCTGCCGCGAAGCGCGTCATGCACTTAAAGGGCAAAAACATACTTGGGCTGTTTGTTTCGCTTGTGATACTGCAATCAGTGCATCTGCGGACAAGCAGCAGCTGCCTTCCGCTTTAATCTGGCTCAAGATGCATAAGCTGGCGTGTCCATAGGACCGTTGACTTGTGCAAAGGAGATGGGTGTGAGCAACTTGCTGGCAAATTTATCATGCACAAAGCGGCTGCTTAATAGGCTATTGCCGAACGTCCCTCAGATAGCCTCTCAGCCAGTACTTCTGTCTTACAACAACAGTTTTTGTGCATGTTCTGCACGAAGCTGCAAACACCAAGGTCGTGAGACATAGTTGCGGCCCCAGTTGAGCATTCCATGCCACTGGACCTGCTCACAATTGTCCATGCAAAGACCGTCTCGTCTAAGCGGTTAGGTATGCTTCCGAGCAGCAGTGGTGGCAGAGGGGTTCGTACTGAAAGGTTGTCCTTATAGAGTCTTAGAGAAGGTCGCGAGAGTTTTTGCGGATCCGAGCTTGTGCGGTCTACGTGCCTCATGAGAGCCTCGAGTTATGGAAGCCTTATCACACCTGTCCAGTCCCCTGTGCATTGTTGTATGTCTTCTTGTGAAAGCTGGTCCTCGCATATCATATCGTAGTGGCTCTTGAGCTTCTGTCTTTGCATATCTTAGCATTTGTTGTGGCGGGCTCCGATACCCAAGCTCAGGCAGCAACGGCCAGCGGTGCGGGCCTTGGGCCCTCCGGGGCAATGCCAGGGACTCGGGCTTCGCTTGGCTTTTGAGATTTTGTCTTTTCCATGAGATCCTGCTATGATGTAGGTTCAATGCCTACCCTCAGCAGAGGACGGGTGTTGATAGGGCTCTCTCGCCTGGTCAAGCTTGGAGTATTATTGATGTGAGCTGTTTTTTTGGGTTCGTGGGAGCTGCAAGGGGAGCCACCAACCATACATGGTCGAACAAAAGTTGCAAGCGGCGGGTGTCAGCAGGATTCGTTGCCATAGGCTGCAGGATGGGTGCTTGCTGATTTTGCGAGCACTGCTGTACAGCGTCGTCCGTTCATTCCTCGGAGTGTCAAGCTCCCTACGAAGGCTTTGGGGGAGATGGAAAGGGTAGGGATGGACCGGGATTTTCATCGAGTGGTGCAATGAGCTGGGTACCTTGGTGAGGACAAGCTGTTGGAAGTTTGTCGTCCCACTATGCCGCAGCGACCTCAGGCAGCAGATACACGGCTAGATTCTGGGTCTTGGAAACTCTTTGCATCAGGCTCAGTCCACTCAGATTGGTTAAAGCATCGTGGAAGGGGCGAGTAGCGCTGCAGAATGCAACTAGCTCGAAAATCTGCCGAAAGTCTGCCTTGCTAAGTTGCTGGCGGGCTTTGCCTGGTGCTGTACGCCTCTTTCGAGGCGTCCGAGGATGACAGGCCTGTCTGCCACAACTCCACATTGCTCTACACCAGGTCCTTGCAGGGTGAACGTTGGGTTTTGGCGAGCGTAGATTTTGGGGTTTTTGGTGTCGGCGTTGGTGTTAAGTGTTGGTGTGGGTGTATGTAACTGGGTTGTTTTTGTGGGGATACTGGTAGATAGGTGCAAAGCAATGGTTGACATCTTGAGTCACATCGACATACATTAGTCAGCGTGTTTCGGGATGACAACCAGCAATCCATCCCGCTTGGAGTGAGAAGACTGGGAACATTCTGTGAAGACCGCTCAGCGAAAGTCTTGTTGTGGAAAGCATCACTTGGTGCCTTGAGATTAGAACGAGCCCCGACTGAACCGCTTCACGTTCTTGCTGTAGGCCTCTTCCTGCCACTGTCTGAGGTTCATGCTTGTTGTTTTGGCTCGAGTATGTTCGAGTCAGCGTTTTGTCTACTTAGGAAGCATCCGCTGCTGCTTCGAGTTTGGGAAGCGGGTACATAAGTTGAAACAGCATAGTTGCAGGTGCTGGCAAGGCAAGCAAGCTAACCCACAGAGGCCTCTATCGAGTGATGATCCTTCACTGAAGCGGATGCAGTCTATGGCCTACGGCTTGCAAGTGTCGCAAGTGTTCACTGTGCGACTCGGGGCGACATCCATTGCAGCCGAGGCCTTTCCTGTCTTCGCAGACCTTCGAGATCGGACTGTGGACACGTCAAAAGCCAACAGGCAGGGCCCTAGGCGAAATCACGGATCTGTCCGACACAAGATCCAGTCTGAATTGGCACAGTATCTCCAACCTCAGCACCAGGTGATGAAACTTCAACTGCGCTCCGGCCTCATCTCATCATCGTGTTGGCACATGTTTGGCACATGCTGGGCATATTTCTTGCCATGGGATGAAGACTTCCAAAGGCCCGAGACTTCCAGATCATCCGCAGCAGACTTGGGCAGTTTCTTGTACTGCACGACAGCATGTGGCTGAAGCCTCTTGCGTCGAGGAAGAGGTGGAGCGTCTGAGGCAGCAGCTACTTCTAGAAAGAAGCAGGACACCTGAATCCCAAGAAGGTTGCTATCCCTCACAGGAAAATTTGTGTTATGAGGATCGCGGAGCAAAGTGCGGAAATCGCTAGGCTGCGCGGTGCATTCCTCAGATGTTTCTCAGAATCAGACGCGGCAGAAGTTTTGACTTTGTCGCTCGAAGGTTCGGTGACTCCGCAGCCTGCAAAGACTGTGCAGGAAGCCGACGTTGTTCACCGCGGAATGCCTATGTGCCCACATGTGCCCGTAGCACTCGCCAGGATTTCGACCCGACGCTGCACAGTGCAGCGGACACGAAGGAGCAAAAGAAACAACTGCCTCAAAAACCGTGTCATGGTGTCAAGAAGCATCTTTGTGGAATTAAATATGTATTCTTGTCTTGTTTGGGGAACTAAGAGTTTTCGTGCGAAGGGGCTGTGCACATCGTGGCGAAATCTTCGGCCTTGCATGAGTATGTTGTGCTTGCGAGTCTCTAGGAGTTTGGCTTTTGCAAATTACATGGATCCCCGAACGTTGGAGTATGTCGGCGTACCTTGTGTCCGCTTGGAGGATTCCAAAAGGTGTTTGCATTGGTGGAGCCTTCTGCATTTGCAGCATGCACTGGAACCCTTAGCTTGAGTTGAAGGTCTGGAAGTGGTCTGTCTGAGGGGTTCTGGCTTTTGTGCACTCAGGCTTTTTTGGCGTTGGGTCCTTTGATCCTGAGCCGCTGGATTGTGCAGGAGACGGATGCATCCATTCCGGACAGCCTGTGGCGAGAGCCCCCTTTGCTTGACAAGGAGGCGGGGGCGTCCATGTTTCTCACAAGAAATGGTTGTCAACAGCAATGCCTGCGTACGTCTGCGCATAGTCAGCATTTGGATGAACGCTTTCTTCTGCAAGGCAGCTTCAGCATCACAGCTCGAAAAGCACCTCTGCAGCAGAGTTCGGTTTTCTCGATGCAGCGGACCTTCAGGAAAGGGGACAGTTTCGCGTGTGGAATTTCAGCAGCTTCTTTGTCCAGTGCCGCATGCGGGTTTCAGCAGGCAGGGTAGCAAGCAGGTTCTCCGATGGCGTTCGGCCATGACGAAGCTCTGGATTCTCTGAGAGGCTACCTTCAAGAGGAGTTCAGCGGTGTGCGGAGGGATATAGCTGCAGTGCTGGATGAGCTGCAGCAGGCCAAGACTCAAAGAGTTGGCTTCGAGGCCTTTGGCGCACAGACCTTTACTGGAAACGGCGGAATGAGCAAGCACATGTTCACGGCGGCCGTCAGCGAGAAAGTCAGGAAGCTTTCGGCCATGGCCTCCGAGGTCACTCCGATCAGACGACGGAGGCTCTCCCTCCCGACCTCCTGGAGTGGTACGAGCACGCAAGAGCTCCATGATCTTAGGCATTTGAACCATCTGAAGCCTCCACGCCTGGAGGCTTCGCAACACTCTATTGAAACTGCTTCGAGCAGTGAAGGGGTTGAGGAGCTAATCCTTCCAGCCGACATCCCTGGCACGGTGCAAGAAGTACCTGCGCCACAACCATCGCAACCCGTGATCGATGAAACCCCACTTGCAGTGACCAAAGATGGAAACGCTTGCGAGTCAATCTCAAGAACACTCTCAAAGAAGGATGCAAAGTGGGTCCAGGGTCTCGATCGCGAGGATGCGAAGCTGAATCTGTTTGAGCGGAAAACGGAACCTGTGGATAAGATGGGTCGTGGGATGGGCCTGGTAGCTGGAGCGGACGACTTCAACGTCAAAGTCTTTCGATCTGCCTTCCATCGACGATGCTACAACATAGCTACAAGCAGCTCCTTTGAAATCATGACCATCCTGTTAATCTGCTCCAGTGCGCTGCAGATAGGCCTCTCCACAAATGACATGGCCGAGAGGCTCGTTACAGAGACCGCCTCTGCCCATCGGATCTTGGAGGTGTCGCTCTCATAGGAACAGCAAGCAGTGCAAGCAGCAAAGATCAGCAAAGCATGAAGATCAGCAAAGCACGAAGAGTCATGCCACAGACGATTGCACAGACAGAAGTTTTTCTAGTGTTAGCTTTGGCTGGTTCTTTAGACAAGTGGGCACCAGAGTGCCAGAGATTGCCAGAGGTGATCTACTGCATCGTCTTCTCCTTGGAGCTGAGTGTACGATTGGTGGCACATCGACTAGACTTCTTTACCCAGGTCGGCTGGGCATGGAACGTGTTCGATCTGCTACTCGTAGGTTTTCAGCTGGTGGAAGAGCTCTTGCTAGCGCTGTCTGGTCCCGATCCTCGGGGTCCTCTGCAGCAGGTCTCCCCAACCACCCTGCTGAGAATTGCCCGCATCCTGCGTGCCGTCAGAGTGTTGAGGGTGCTCCGTATCGCCCTGATGGCAGAGGACTTAAGGCTGCTCGTCAGTTGTCTCCTCTACTGCTCCCGCCCCTTTTTTTGGACCTTCGTCCTCTTGGGTTTGATGCTGTACATCGCAGGCATTTACATAACACAGCTGCTCTTGTTCTATCGTGTGGAGAGCCAGCAGGGCCACGAACTGGAGAATTTCTTTGGCTCGGTACCGCGCTCCATGCTCTCTCTTTTCGAGGCTATGACTGGTGGGGTCGACTGGGATGTCCTGGTAGCGCCCCTTTTCGATCTTAGCGCTGTGGTCGGCATTGGACTGGTCTCCTTCTTCGCTTTCGCGATTGTGGGTGTGCTCAATGTGGTCACTGGAACGTTGCTGGCCTGTTTATCGCGTGTTGTAATGACACTGTGCTAAAGCAAAAGCCCACCCTAGGCCCGATGGTCCTCGGATCGAGGCTTCAGCTAATACACAGTGTGACCCTTGAGCAATCTAGGTTCGTGCAGAGCGCGATCGTGAGGGCCGAGGAGGTGAGGGAGGTGCAAAGGGCCATGAAGGCCAGGAAGCTCTTCAGAACTTTGGATGACAACCAGAGTGGTCAGATCTCTTACAACGAAGTCCTGAATCACACAAAGGACCATTCGGTCCAGGACTTCTTCAAAGACCTTGACATCGAGGCATCCGAGGCCAAGTTTCTCTTCGACATGTTGGATGTCAACCAAAGTGGCTCCATCGATTTCGAAGAGTTTCTCAACGGCTGCATTCGGCTGCAGGGGCCTGCTAAGGCCATCGACATTCTTGTGGTAACACGAGAAACCCGCATGGTTTACGACAACTTGACTCAAAACTTACAGCATCTGCGGGCCGAGCTGACGGTGCTCAGCGAGCGGCTCCTTGGGATTTCCCAGGGGTCGAAGGATTCAGCGGAGGCAGAGGAATAGGACCTGGGACCTAGGATCTTAGAGTCGAGGGGAGTCGATGCGTGATCTGTTGCGGCAATGTTTGAACTCCAATCTGATGGACACTTTGTTGCTTTGGAAAGGGCACTTCGCTTCCTGAGGAAGTCGGAGAAGCTCCGGATGCCAATTATTTTTGTTGAAGTGAAGTGGCCGCCTGTGCAGCAGGTGGCAGTGTCGAAGACACTGCCGGGAGCACGGACGGATCGTTTGGATGAAGCAGAATTCAAGAGCTCAGCTGAACCCACCTTCTCAGAAGCCGTGTCACCCTGAATCCAAATCACGCTCAAGGCAGTGGAATTACGAGGACTCTCCGTCCCAGGCGAGTGCAGAGGGACTCAGCCTAAGCGTTTCGTCTCTTGGAGAGATCAGCGACTTGGCAGACCAGTGGGAGCACCCGAGACGCCCTAAAGGCGGTTGAGAAGGACAGCCCCTGCCTGCAGCCATCCTGCTTCTTTGAAGTTTATCTTGGTTGTACACTCTCAGTCTCCCTTGGTCAGCAGTGCCGTGCAGGAGAACACCATCACGGCTGGATGCTCGAGTTGTGAGTGCAGCGTTCTGATTCCGATGATGCAACGTGATGGGCTTCTCGTATCTTCTGCCGCCATACAACAGACTTTTGGCTTGATGTTTACAGCCGGTGCGGAAAGCCTTGCCGTGGTAATGCTACCGATGATATTGATCAGCAGGATTGATTACCATTGATGATCCTTTCTCGAGGTGAAGGCTGGAGACCGAGAAATTGTCCTCCAAATCAGCAAGCCGGACCGCGATAGTACTCTCAGCTAGGTCTCCCTGACCAGACCAACATGCCGAGAGATGAAATGAAGGATGAAATTGGACATGTTGCCAGGAGACAACGCTGGAGCCGCCTTCTCACAGACCAGGCCAGGACAGGGAAAGCACGGCAGCAGTCCATGTGTGCCACTGTGACAAGATCTGTTTTGGGCGGATGCTCTCTGGTTTTTCTGGGGAGAGCAGGTAAGTATTTCATTCGTCTCCTGTCCGACGGTCCTCGCGGAGAGCGATGTCTGGCATCAATGCTGTTGTGGGCTCTCGAGTGTAAGGTCACGTGTCTGTCTACCGTGCATGCGCACTTTTTCCAAAGTCAAGACGGTCCGAAGCTCCCGATGGTTTTGGTTGTCTTTTTTCATGACAGGTGTCATCATGTCTGCAGAGGCTACGAGCACTCCTGCTAGGTCCCTCACACCCACACTCACTTATTCATTTGCTGGTGCGCGTGCATGTAAGTGTGTCGTGTCTACAGGTTATGCAGTCACTCATGTTTGTGCAACTTGCCGAACATGAGCATGTATGAGAATTATATGAATGTAAGCATAAGTTTTCAGAGTCGAAAGTGTGCATACACCTGAATAAATGAATATTTAATATTTATCTGTTCAGGTTTGCATTCGGATGTTTACATATGGGCATGACCAACCACAGCATGCATGAGCATCAACAAGACAGTGGTGCCTGTATTGCATGCTAACTCCCACATTGGTTGTATGTATGCGTGTAGGTAGGCATGCATGTATGTATATATACCTGTATATAATATATATGTATAAAATATGTGTAGACAGCTAAATACATGTGTCTGTATATATGTGTATACCAGCATGTGCTACCGGCCACGGGTTATCCACGCATTTCCGGTGGAACTCAACCTTGCGGCGCCAGACGTGCCTTCATAACAACCCTCTTAGATTACGTACATGAAAGGTCGTCGGGGCTAGACAGGCCTGAATAGTGCGTATTTGCAACAGTCACTCACGATATGTGGTGAGATGGGTCGAAAGGGCTCAAGCAACTAAACAGGTGTGTGCAGACAACGGCTTGAGGACGTGTCCTGCCTGCTGAATTTCGTTGAACTTCTGGAAGCCCTTCTTTCGCCTACAGTTTGAATTGTGAATGAATCGTTTCCTAATGTCACGATTTAGTAAAGTTTAGTATGCAAAACAGGAGTGTTGAAATAGCTTGTAGAGGTCAGCAGCATTTGGTTGCTAGAGTATGCACCAAGTTTCAAGAAGTTAAGCTGAATAGAGCACACATACTGCGAATTTGTATACCTATGAAGTTTTCGGATCGTAAAGGTTATGCGGGCGCAGACATTAATCTCCTATCAGAGCCAGCATCCACAAGCCTGACTTCACTCTGACTGTGAGACTCTTGTGTTGGCCAGCCACATCAGATGCACATGTAGTGGCGGCCACAAGAGACAGGTAGCTGTGCGGTTGTCTGTCAGCCAGGGTCGTGCATGAGACGGTGCTTCTGTCAGATATTATTCTGGAAGAGTTCTGATTTGTAAAATAGCTTGGCTTGGTTTGGCTTGGGTTTGCAGCAGGGGCCTGGATTTGTGCGGCCTGTGCAGGTTTAGGTTCAGTTCAGGGCGTTCAGGGCTTTCTGGGGTTCATTCCTTGTTTGCTTTCGGTTGTGAGCGGAGGCTTGTTTTCTGGCTTGAGGGTCTCTCACGGATTTGCACGGCATGGACGGGGTGAAGGGGCGGTTAGTACCGTTCTTCGCTTCGGGTGTCATCGTGGTGCACATTAGCCGACATGCCCGACAGTGCATGCGTGGCACACCCTGAAACATGGTCAGCTGCTGTATCCGATGTCAGATCGGTCTAATCTCTGAGAGACCTCTGCCTTTTTGGTCGCAGTGTCTGACCACGCCGATGCACATGTCTTTGACTAAATGTCTTGGAATACTTGGGTGCCTGCATGTAGGTCCCGGTGTGCATGTCTCTATGTGTGCGCACACCTACTGTTGATGGATACGCCTCTTCGATCCTCCATGCGCATATGTACACATCATGACAGAAGTCATGTACATGCATGTACGCAGGGTTTTGGTGGTACGTTCCATAGATGTACACATACAGTTGACATACAGTCACATTGACGTGAGCTCCTACATACATGCTTGCATACACAGGCATGTATCAGTCTGGTTACACACCCTGTCTCACCTGGCGCCGCGTTTGTTGATGTAATGGTGTCCTTCCTGCACGACTGATCTCCAGGAACAAGAAACCCAAGCAGAAGGAAAGAAGGACGGATAGAGACACAGAGACGAAGACACAGAGACGCATACCCACAAACTGGTACACATCCACAACATGTGTCGCTTCGGTATTCAGCATTCCGTAACCTGCCTAGACTGTTTTGTGGTGTGGGGCAACAGGGCGAACGAGCCCCGAATACAACCTTCTTGCAGGGTCCGAAGTTCTGGAAAGCAGCTTTGCCAGGAGCCCAGAGGAAGAAGGGTTTGTGTTTTGTTTCTGCAAGCCTGTCGACGTGCTTTGGCAATTGAGTGCATGCTTCTGCTCGGCTTTCAGAGACTGCCGGCATCTGTACCCCAACTCTACGTTTCGCGACCGAACACTTGGCACTTGCCATGGACTTCGTTTGATTTATCTCATCTTCCAATGCTCAGAGCCGTGCGGCTTCTCGTGTTAGTGCTGGCCGCAAAAGCAGAGTCGGAGTCGGCGGACGACCTACCTGACTTGTTCCTGATCCAGGTCGCTGCACAAACCTACAATGGAAGTGGACTGAAACACGCGCTTGCGACTGCCTTGCCGAAGGTGTCGAGCAGTGACCGTGAGCATTCCCTGCTACAGTCTGCGCCTCAAAACCGAAATGGTACTGCCAAGAAGGACAAAGAGAAAGAGAACGATGGAAGCCAGATTGTTCAAGAGCAGCTGGGGCTGAAAGCCAACAGCGAATCAGACTCAGAGGCGTTGCGAGCTTCTTTTCTTTTCAATATCGGCTTGATCTCTGCCTACTTGGTACTCTTCGTAGTGTTTCAGAGGTGGAAGCCGCTCGTATATCTGCACAACACAACCATTCAGAAGGCACCTGAGCCCCACCCGTCATGGTTCGGTGTCTGGTTAAGCTCAGAGGAGGTGGAAGAGTATGCTGGGCTGGACAGTGCATTGATGATCGAGTTCTGCAACCTTGGCATGAAAATCTGCATTTATCTGGGGATCCCCCTCACCGTGGTCTGTCTCCCGGTCTTCTACGTCATGGGCAAGCATCCGGGTGCCGCAGCTGCAGGGAAGCCGGAGGTCTTTGAGGCTTGGAGACCAATGTTTCCACCCTGTTTTATCTTCCCCTGAGGTCCAAATGCAGACATCTGCACCAGTGCGGTGCAATTTGTCCCTCGAAGCTCGCTGGACCTTTTTAGCATCAGCTCCTTAAGGTGCAATGGGCTAGCCATGCGCTCCTCGGCTCATCCTTGGAGTGTTGACGCATGTTTTAATTTCCTAAGCCTTGGCAGTCAAAGCGTGCTCCGGTGGGCTGCTTCGAGGTTGGATTTTGGCTGCTACCACTTGGATAATTGTCTGGGCTGTGCAGCGCCTTCTACGTCAGGCGCAAAAGAAACCAGCCTGCATTGAGTAGTACGTTCCGATGTTGCTGTTTCAGTTTTTCGCCGTTTTCATCATGTACAATGGAGAGTAAGACTAGACACGCGCCCAGAACGAGAGTGGCTCTGAGCCAATCTGATTGGCACCATCTCCGTGTCGAGAGAGAGAGAGAGAGAGAGCGAGACACCGCCCTGGCGAAAGAGAGAGAGAGGGCGAGAGAGAGGGAGAGCCGCATGACCAACCGCCAACGGTACAGGTTCGAAAAGACCCTCGGAAAGTTACGTTCCAGCTACTGCATGATCACCGAGAACACCCTCCTGAACCTGTTCGGCAACACAAGATTTGCGGAAGCTGTCCAACAGCACCACATTGCAGCTCAAATTCAATGGAACGAGCAACCTCCCTGTCCAGATCATCGACAACAGACCTGAACATCAACGCATCACAGGGGGTGGTCCCTACCAGGCAAGTGACCAAGAACGAGGAGATGCGACCGTAGGAGACGTCTTGTTTGTCCAGCCAGCTCATCTTACATCAGGTCCATCCTCGTCAAACAATGGGGGAGAGGTCCCCCCGCAGCCTGACATCTCGGACTTGGAAGAAGACGCAGAAAGAGCAGTACGTGAAGGTCGTGCACAACAGTGGAATATTGAGGACGCTTCATCGAGTATGCGATCCTCGATAAGAATTGGGGAGGTCAGCTTTGACATTTCGTGGTTTCAAGGAGCAGGCCCCCTACCCTACCGCCAACCATACCTATCGCGCCGCACGTGATCTTCACAGCGAGGGCAAGCATGGCGGGAGCATGGCGGGGGGTCCTTTGGACCCCCCAGCAGAGCCAGACTATCAGACACCCTCCCCGAGTACGGCAAGAACCATCGCTAGTGGCATATAAGACTTTGAGCTCACCGTGGGCCACGGGGCCCACCTTGCAACCAGGAGTTTCGCTCACACTGCAACCAATAGGGGCCTGGATTGCTACAACGAGGTTTGAGCTCACTTTCGCCAGAACGCCACGCTTTTGGCTGGTCACAGTCGACGCTTTGCCTACAACGAGCCCGGCAGCAGGGGAGTTACCCCTTCAGGTGGGGCAAACCTTTTTTCTGGAATGGCAGGGGACTATCCGACAATGGGTTCGCAGGCCAAGGTTTCCTGGAGATATAGAACGCCTAGGAGGCCATTCCATTATTCCAGCTGCCGACCCGCCAAGCCTCCCACGCCACCGGAGAGACATGGTTTCCCGAAAGCTGACCGAGATGCTGAGAGAGCCACCTCCTCTACTTCGGGGAATCGCCCCGATTCGGGAGCATCCACAACGGCAGCCACGCAACCCACCCAAAGCCAGGCCCCCGCTGCCACCGAGTACGGTGAACTCTGGTTCAGAATCGGAAACGAGCTGGCCCAGCGAGGACCCTGCAGAAGAAGCCCCTCCCAGCACGACATCCACGACAACCTATGTACAGGACTACGAGGCCACTGGACAATGTTTCAATGACGCTACCTCACTGATGCAACGCACCACGGAGGGCACCAACCCGCCAGCAAAGCCGAGCACCTCACCGAGCCAACCGACAAACCATGAAGCCGAGCAAAGCATGGAGGACCCGACCTGGAAGCCTCCTCGTCCCCCCCAAACTACAGCAGAGCTCGTGCAGACGGTGACGAAGATCCTTCACCAACTACTACAGAAATCCTTTGCACTCGAAACCGGGGAGAACCTACCCCAACCACGATGCCATGGCCTTCGAACTGGCTCTTTCGCTGCCTATCATGGATGCGGTTGAGGCACTACAACATCTACTACAACAACACGGGGAGCTTCCCCGAAGAGTGCTCAACAAAGAGCTGGCACACATCGAGGAGCTTCTCAGGCAGGCCAAAGCCACGCTGGCAACGTGGACCAAGGAAGCTGAGCCGCCGGGGGTGCATGAGGCTCTAGCCTGCATCAGGACTGCACTCGACGCGTTGGACTGGGCCCATCTCGCAGTGGAAGAAGGCAGTATTCTCCAGACAGGGGAAACACTACACATCGCGCTTCAAGCCTTGCAGAAAGGCCAAAACCATATGGAAGCCTTCATCAAGTGGGTCAACCAGATCATGCAGTCGCACAGGGGAGAACCACCACCTAAGAGACATCGAATGACGGAAAGCCCATCGGGGAGCGACCACGTGCCGCACTATGAACCACGTCATCCAGCTCCTAGCTACTTCATCCTCTACCACGACGAGGTGATTCAGAAGTACCTCATGGCGATCGGGGGGCACCTAGACGAGAGGGGGAAGCCACCCCTTATTCAGTGCTGCGGGCGCAAGAGATCCTACGTACGGTGATGCCCTTTGCTGAACATGAGATGGCTGTCAGCTTGGGAGAGGCACACGCCCATCTGGCACAATGGACTCAAGCGCTATGGGGCCATCCCATCCAATTGGTGGAAGACAGAGACGAGACTGGTCAGACGCAGATGGAGACGGGGGAAGACCCTGCCCCCAGCGAGGCAGAAACAGTGCCTGCGAACAACCGGTGGTCAGGCACCACAAGGAGAACAACCATGGACAGCGCTGCAATGGAAAGGAGAAAGGCACCCTCGCGCAGACGCCGACGACTCCAAGCGGCATTGGAGGGCACCAGTGAGTCTGAGCGCAGTGACTAGTCCGCTTGCAGAGGGGCCAAAAGACATGGGGAAAGCCCATTCCGTTTCAGCCGACTAGTATGGTGGTTAGTGGGTTTGCCTTTCTGTTGTTGTGTGACGTTTCTCTTGGGACCGAGACTTTCCCCGCCTCGACCTGCTCCAGGCTTGACTAGGACATACCAAGTACTGCCAGTTGGTGAGGAGTCAACTGTTTTGGTTGTTTTAGGGATCGCTCGTATCGCTTTCTTAGTCACTCGAGGCCTGCAACTTCCCACACCCGAGGCAGTACGAAGATTTCTTTTGGTTTTGGCAGGGTGGACGTACTGTGATGCATGCACTGTCGTTTGTTTTTGAGTGTTCCTGTGTTGCTGCCCTTGTGAAGTCCACCGAAACAGACACACTTCACTTGTTTGGAGGAGAGATCAGCCGGCCGCATCTACTCTTGTTACTCTTGTTGCCCTAGGGGATGTCCCCCCTTTAGTCCTTTCTATGCTTTAGTGAGTCGGCGACCGCTGATATGTGCCTCCCAGAACGTATATGCAGACGGAGATGCGTCTTGCAGGGGGTCCTGGGAAACTTATGTTGGTGCATTGATGCTTCGGTTTCTCCATTGTTTGAGCTTGAGGACCCCGTTGGGCAAATATTGCCGTAGTCGTGCGAGTGAGCATTTTCCGCAAGTCCTCCGCACATGTCGGGGGCGCCGGATGGCGCGCGGGCAGGGGCAGCTTCCTCCTGCCCCTACCCCTGCAGAAAGAAAGAGAGGGTGAGGTCACTGAGGTCCCCGCCGAGAGAGGAAACAAAGAACTCGCAACCCTAAACGACAGATCCACCAAAGCCCGATCGAAGAACAAGAAGTCCTGAAACCAGCTGCGAGTAGGCGAAGTCGATGGAGTTGTCGGGGGATTTGCACGTCCTGTGTGGGAAGCCAGGCCGTTGAGCAGGTTTTCAGCACAAGCAGTCGTAGGTATGACCGCTGTCCTGCCCGAACTGGAAAAATCGGAAATGCACGAGTTCGCGAGTGTCACCATAGTGGCTGCACCGACACATGTGGGCGAGACAACGGGTAGTTGGCCAGTTGGCGCGTCAGCTCATGCAGCTGGGAGCCACTCAATTTGCCGTTTATTAGCGCTTAAGCCTTATGTAAGAAAGCTACACCGTCTTTGATAAGCCTTCTTTGCCCTTTGATGAGCTGTTGAAGTTGAGCCAGGACCACTGCGGTTTGTTGATGGTGCTTCAAGCTTAAGTCAAGTGAACCCTTGCATGAAAGGAAGTTCGTGGAGCGACGTGTTGCATGGCTGCAGCAGCGCCCCAAGCCACAGTCTTCTACACTTTTGGTCACCAATATTCCTCCAAGTTATAGCTGCTTGGTTGCATTTTTGCTGGGCTTCCGGACCTAGCACATGGCACGATTTTCTTGGCACACAAGCCAACCAAGGGTCTGATGCCAAGCTGAAAGAATACTTCGACTATCTCTTCCCTGGTGGGATAGTTGAGCGAGTGTATATCGTCAAGAAGCTCTCCAGCTTGGCGGCCCTGCTCGATGAGTTCTCGATTGCCGAACAGCGACTCCATGAATCGCAGTACCTTTGGTTCCTGGCGAACAAGGACTGAACGACTCTCTGAGTTTTGTTTGTGGAGCTGGGTAAGATCAATGTCCAATGTGTCCAGGACCCCGACAAGCGACCAACAATCAAAGTTCTTCAAGATGCAGAGGCTGTGGACAGCATCGATCACTACACAAAGCTTGTAGCAGCTGGGCATCGTTTCTCGAGATGGAGAGTCCGCACAGATACGTAAGTATTCTCTACCCATTCGATCTTCGAGGGAGTCCTCAAGCTTGAGAGCTTTGTTTAGTTGGAGATGTTGAGGTCCACTTCAGATGAAACCCGATTGAAACTTTACTAGGGGGCAAAGAGACAAGAAGACGGACATGTCACGAAGCTGGTGTGCTTACACAGCTGCACTCGTGCAAGCTTAAGGAGCACCTGCAGCGCCACATCGAAGGTGAGAGGGACCAGATACGTCAAGCAGACAGCTTCGATGAGGCTCATTCCCAGCACTGCGCTCGGAAGCTAGCTTCTGATCCAATGTCTGCCGCTGCAGGCAGAGTACAGCGGTGCAGCTGCATTCGTGACGTTCAAGGCTTCCCGTGATGCGGAGATGGCTCTACGGCTACGGTTGGAACCAGAAGGCCGAAATGAGCAATAAGGTTAATAAAGCCCTTGTGCGATGCGGTGGAACTTTGGATGTCTTCTTGTGATGCTAGTCTGCAGGGCACTTTCGTTTGGGAGCTCATGCAGGGAGTCACGAGTGTCGGCGGTTGTGCTCTCCTGCATCGGCCTTGGGGTCTCCAACCACTTTTCTTCAGATTCGGTCGTTTGAGCTCCGCGGTTCAAAGCTCCAAACTCGACCGACTCTCCGACGAGGGCGCCACTGAGAGATAGCATGGCTGTTGCGACGTTGTGTGAGAACGTCTTCCCCCTGATCTAGTCATATAGCGGGGGCTGGGACCCGAGTGCTTCTTGTGGGAAGCCCACTCTACGCAGCCTTTTTGTTCGCAACTCTTCGTGGGATTACTGCGGTGCAGGCCATCTCTTCACCATGGAGTATCCGCCGGTTCCGAAAGATGTCTCATACGAAGATCTTCTCCGAAGCCCGTTCCAGAGGCCTCGCGGCGAATGATCCAAATTGTTCTGTAAAGGAAAGAGTCCCATCGCAGGCAGATGCTATACCTACTCGGGTATGTCCTTATCTTCATGGTGTTTCTTTTCTTCTTTCCGCTGATTGGCGCAGCCTCCTCGATTGTCAACTTGGAGAACCTGGAGCGGATTGATTTCGTACATCGTATGATCACGAGTTCGACCTGGGTGCAATCTGTCATGGAGGGAATCTTTGCAACCTTGTTGCTCTCAGTCTTTATGGCCTTCCTGCCAAGCACACTGCATGTAATCATTGCCAGCACCTTCACCCTCAATTCCAAAGTGCAGAGCCAGCTTTTCCTGCAGCAGTGGTACTTCTGGTTCCAGGTCATCTTTGTTCTCCTGGTTACAGCAATAGGAACCTCATTGTGGCAACGTTTCGCAGATGTCTTGACGTCCCCGACCTCCGTGGTGCTGGATTTGGCTGGGAGCTTGCCGAACACTTCCACCTTTTACATGAGCTATATCATCCTTCAGTGGTCGGTGTCGGTCCTGCTTCTCGACGCACAAGCTTAGCCAAACTCGGCTGTAGGAGGGGCTCGGTAAGTTTTCGGAAGATGTGGGGCCTGTCGGCCGTGTCTCATGTCAGTCGAGGAACATCCTTCGCTATCAGAACTTGCTGAAATTCTTCGCTTGGACAGCCGTTAGCGAGGAAGCACGCGCCAAGGAGCTCTCAGAGCCGGAGGATCCAGATTACTATGGTGATCCAATCTGGCGTTTAGTGATGTCTAGTAAGTTTAGTAAGTTTAATATGTTGGTTGTCACATTGCTGGCTTGTCGATCTCCTTGGGCTGAAAGTTGTTCTTGAGTCCATGAACCTTGGTGGGTTTTCCCCGGTTTTTCTTGCAAACCACAGGCATCGGCTCTCGAAGTGCGCGTTTGAACGTGGTGCTGGCTATTGCACTGGTCTTTAGCCTCATGGCACCCATGGCCCTGTGGTGCGGCTTCGTATACTTCCTCATCAACCGCTTCGTCTTTAGTGCCTCGGCAGTATTGCAGTGTTTTTCGTTATACTACTACCAGTCACTACCACCACCACGACCGCAACGGCCGCTACTAGTAGTTCTAGTATGTATGACTAAGTATGAGTGTCGTGATCATATGAGCACAGCCAGTGTCCCCCTTTGGGAGGCTACCTGGTTGTCTTTGCGGAGACGACGAAACCGGATCTGGGAGGCTACTTTTGGGCCCAGCAGCTGCGGCACGTCCAATTCACACTGCCGATCTTCGTTCCTTTGCGGGTTTACGTGATTTGTGAGTCTGGGTTTGGGGTTTAGGCGTTAAGGTTTGTTCGCACGTGACCCCAGAAAGAAGACGAATGCAGCATGTTGATGCGTTGCTCTGCCGAAGTTCTTCTGCAGTGAGGTAGTCGTGATGAGTGGATGTCTCTGGACGAAGCCTTACGGAGGACCTGGCATGCTTGCACTGCTGAGTCTCGTGGTCTGGGGATTCGATGCCTGACTTATCTGGCATCCGGTGTTTTTCTCAGAGACACGAGCTTTCACATCTGTCTGCTTTGCTTAGGAATATTCAAGATGGGCGGACATCTTGTGGGAGACCCTGTCCTTCAGAGCAGTGGTCGAGGGATCCGAGAAGGGCTCCCGTACATCAGACGAGGTCTATGTGCAACCTGAACTCTCCCGCAAGCTGCGAGTTCCTTCCATTGCAGCTTCCAAAGCCGGATAGCCGTTGTGAGAATGGTTCTGCATTTCGAGATGATAGCAAAACGGGTGCCTCCGGGGCTTAGTGAGGCTGAAGCTTCGTCACATGAGCAAAGGTTAGTGCATTGGCAAGTCGTGAGGCCCAGGCTGAAGTCGGCAACTCCACACAGCAGGCCGCAGTCGTCTTTCGAGCAAGACTTCTCAGGGCTTCGCCGCTTCGCCTGAAAGTGCAGCATGTCAGGTTCTTGCCTCCAGGGCTAATGTCAGCGAATCTGTCTCGGATCCTGGCCCGAGCCCTGAAGCGAAGCATTTCTTGCAGTGGCCCTTCTCTGCATAGAGGCAGAGATAGCGAGAAGAGCGCGACCCAGATCACTGTGCGCTCAGGGCAGTCGTGCCCTTATCCTGTTCGCAAAGTAAAGCACCCGCGTACTGCTGAAAGATGCCAGGCGAGAAGCAGTCAATGTGAAGTGATGGTGGTCATGTCTTCTCTGCATGGGTGCAATATTGTGTTTGGGACCAAGTCGAGGAAGATAGAAGGATGCACACCAGCAACCCAACGATGCAGGTGCAGCAATGCCATGCCTGGAATTTCGTGAGAGTAAGGCATTCGAGACTGCTGCTGAAACGAAGAATATAGTTGCCAATGCGAGCTACGCGTGCCGCTGATAAGCTGATTTAGCTTCAGTACCTCGGGATTGAGCTTTGAGATCTTTGAGCCGACGTTTCGGCAACAGCGTTGACAACAGATTCACATCCGAGTCCTCATCTTCCGAGCCCAGTAGAGTACCCGACATCCTTCAGAAGACTGCTCCACAAACCACTTTGAGGCAGTCAATTGTGATCCAAGTTCGCGATGGGAGCGAGGAGGCGAGGCAGCTTGGGACCTTACATGAAGGATGCGATGCCTTTCTGCATTCAGGTCAGGTTGCCTCCCAGGGCTGAAGACAAGGCGCGGACAAGGCCCCGTAAGATGAGTTTGGGGCACCTGTTACTCCGTGCAGGAGTTGGCCCTAAACAACACCTCTGCGGCACCGGTGCTGCCAGAAGTGGAGACAGCGAAGGTCCGAACCTCGGCAGTTTTTCTTCTCTGAGCATTTGGCGGGACGACGGGAAACGCATGACCTGAGGCGGTCCCTGAACTGCCAGAGCCGTCGGCATTGCCGCAGGAAACGATTGGGACCATATGGCCACCATGCGTAGGCTGCGTTGCTTTGGCAGGACACCAGCCTCAGCCTCAGCCCTGAAGCGCCCGGGCCTTCGCTTCGAGGCGCTTTTGGGGCAGAGGCCTTTCTGCCCATGCCGCGACCAGTGCGACGCAGGTGTTCAGGGAATCCAGGGTGCACCTGAGAGATCCTTGCCCGAAGCTGGGCTCTTATTGATGTCCCAGGCAACATGGAACCGCATGTAAGCTGAATGCGTGCACATCTATGCAGGAGGAGGCTGCCACGACAACGAAAGGCCACTCCCTGCGTCAATTTACTTGCACTTCAGACTTTTTCTCCGTTGCTTCACAATTCGAGGTTATTCGGCCTACGCCAATCTTGCCTTCCGCACGCGCTGAAGGCTTGTGTAGTCATGTGCAGTCAAGCCGCACCTTCTCCCAGTCACTCTAAAAGCAGTTTCTATGGCAGTGCTGAAATTTTGTTAGATCCAGGGAGAACGTGCAGCCTAGAGTTAGTGTCCACTCTTCCTGAGAATCCAGGAAGAAAGCCTTGATAGGCTTTGGTAATGAGCCAGGCTTTGCGCATTCGTCGTGACTGGCCGAGAATTCAGGTGCATCTTCCGCTAGTTCAGCGCAGTAGCCACCACTTCGGGCGACTCAAGCGCTCTTTATTCAGCAGCTGGCATCAGTCGTGTGCATGTTGATATTGAACATCCTGCACGGGCTACATTGAACCACAGGGCTGCAGCATCTGCAAGCACTTCACAAATGATTTGGCAGCTTTGGCTCACAGAGCCTGCAGCGGGTCTTGAACCCTGGCTGCCTCGGGACTTGGGGGCATGGAAGCTGTGAAGATGCTTGGGCAGCAGATATTTGCGACTGCCTGCTTTCACTTGACCTCTTAGCCTCGAGCTAAAGTTGGGGTTGTTTTATTGTCCCTCTTCGCCCTGTACGCAAGGAAAAGCGAAATTCAGTGAAGCAGCTCCGTGTCACAGCCTCGAGATGCTGCAAAGAGAGCTCGTTGGCCCTGACATCGCCTGTGGTCATTGGTGCAGGTTGGCTCGGAGAGCTTCGGAAGCGATGGTGGCAATGGGAAGGATCCGGTTGGTTTCTGCTACATCGTAGAAACATGGCACGCTTATGCAGCATATCCGACAGGCAGGAAGAGCGATGCCAAATAGTTGCGTGCCGCAAGGGGCAGGACAAGCAGTTTGGGCCGATATGTTCAAAGCGAAGTGTTCAGCAGACAGCCGCCTGAGTCTGGCTGCAAGGATGTCTCGACTGGCAAAAAGTTTATCCTTAAGCTGCGCTCCAAGAGATTTGAGGGAGGCCGTGAACGGCATCCTCTCGTGACGTGTCTAGGTATGGGGAAGTTGTGCGAATTGGCCGTGGCAACGACAACGAGGCTGCCGCTGCAGTTTGGGCTGTCCGGCTTCGGCTTTGGGGTTGAGTCTGTCGAGTTCGAGCCTTTTGGAGCATTCAGGGGAGTTACAGTGAATGGCATGGAACTACTAGTTACTAGACATCAGAAAGCAGGACATGTGATCCAAAATGTAGGTTCTCTTTGAAAGCGGGGCCACGTTTCTTCAGTCCTGCATCGCAGCACGGCCAACATGACTTGGGGGCATGAGTTGTGCTCTGCATCCTGCCGTCCTTTCCCAGACAGATTGCAGCATGCAAGCTGCACCGTTCAGGTGATCTTGGACTATGAGGGTGTATCGAAACACCACGCCGGCGCTTAACACACACGGGCTTGGCTGTGTCTCCTCGAAGTGATGGACATCAGGCTGAGATCTTCATGCGGGCAAAACAGCCAGAAGAGGCCGAATGTGTGAATGTGTGCTCACCTTCACAAAGCATGATGGCATGTTGCTTCACTTCCCCAGGGCGTGGCAAAGGGACAAATGATCTATGGAAAGAGCATAGCGTGCACTCGGTTTACAGTATCATTACCAGTGTCTGGTATACAATGTAATCAAACATGGTTTTTTGGCGCAGTTGAATCTTCAGCCTAAGACACATATCATTCGGAAAGATGTGTTGTACGAGACAAAGATTCCGGGATATGACAATCGCTGCGCCTCAGAGCAGACACCTTGTATTGCATCACATACCAAGGCATCATCAAGCTTGTCATCTTTCCCTCTCTTCGCAGACAGCCATACAGACTGTACATACGTGTATGCAGACACACATACATGCACACATACGTACATGCCTACAGACATACATACATGCATGTGTGCACACGTTCATCCATCTGTCCGTCCGTCGGTCCGTCCATCCGTCCATCCGTCCATCCCTCCAGCCACCCAACCAGCCAGCCAACCAGCCAGCCAGCCAGTGCGTGGCATTTACAAGATTCCACAATCTGCCATCCCGGCACAGCGTGACATGTCTTCCCGCCGCGCAAGTTTGTTGCAAGTGAGACTTCAGAGCAGAAAGGAACTGCATAGGTCATGCGACACGATAGTCGGTTATGCCAGCATACAGTTAGCATGAATGTACAGCAATACTTTAAACTCGCAAATCGCAGCGTACAGTAGCATCTATAATCACAGCTCTCTGTAGTACATGGCAGAAAACTAGCAGTCGAGCGCTCTGATATAGCCGAAGCTACTACGACAGCATGTGCAGTTTACAGTGCATTCCAAAATATAGGATTACGCCATACTTTGTTGTAGCTGGGAAGCTCAAGGGTGATTGTCTCAGTTCAGAATAGCAGGATTCACTCCGACAACTTGAGGTCATTCTTGGTGCAGATCTCAAGTCATGCGCCCAAGCAGACGACTTTCTCGTCTGTTGCCAGTCTCGCGCCGCGGACCAAGGATGACAGGCCTGCTGTCGATTCGCTAGTGACTCAGAGGCTTCGAGGTGGGAGGAGATTGGAAGCCTCTACTGATACTGGCACCTGTCTGAGGTGACCTCAACTCCCGGAATGGTCTCTCCATCCACAAATCACCGCTGGTCCGCTTCGCTGTGCGATGGTAAATTTTGAACTTCAGATGGAATTTTGCTGAAACCCGCTCGAGCGCCCAACCCCGGAATGGACTCAGCCTGCAGCCAATCATCAGCCATCATTGCTTCATGACGCTTCCAGGCTGCGGTCCCACCGCTGGGTGCTTTCGATCGTATCGTTCCTGGAATTGTGCAGGCACACGAAACGGCTCTCGGTTTTTGAAGTTTGTTTTGCAAGCCATCGAATCCTTCGTCAGGCAGTGCAGGATGGTCTTCCCGACATGCTGGGTGAAAGGGCATAGTGTGAAACATGGGGGCACGATGTGGGTCCGTCGACGATTTCATGTATTTTCATGTGTCATCTGCCAGGCTGGAGTGTTCTTGTTCCTGCCAAGAGTCGCCATCAAGACAAACAGCCCCGAGCCTACTTGCTAATAGCCATAGCTGTCATGTGCGGTGCAGACGAGCAGATGGACAGCGGGGGGAAAATGCGTGTTCTCGCAAGGATGACGGTGGAGCAGCGCCTTCTGACACTCTATGTGAGCTCCGTGATGGTGGAGGCTTCCCTGCCTTGGTAAATTCGGCTGTCGCAAGGAGCGAAGCTTGTGTGAAGCTTCTGTGTGTGCTCCATGTTCAACTCACAAACGCGAGTGCCTCAGAGTGCATTGTGCTCCAACGGGTTGCCCGAAGCTGCTCAAGCGGCATCGGAGCGGGCGGCCGGCCAGAATCTCGCCGCGTGAGGCCAAATCAACGAATGCGTGCTCTGTTATGCTGTTGTGCAGCAATGTTCAAGCGATTTGTTGGAGGCAGCATGGGCGTCGCCGTCAGCGCAGAGCATGCTGGCGGCGGGCACGGCCACTCTGGTGGCCGGGTCCATTACGGACATGGTGGATCTGTCGTTCACCACGACAGTCACATGGTACATCACGGACATGCTGGACACGGACATGCTGGACATGCTGGACATGTCGTGCACGAAGACGACGGATGCGAAAACGTAGGCAGGCAGTGCGAAGTCCGCGAGCTCAATCCTTGTTGTGCAGAAACATCATGAGTCGTGCTGTTGATGCTCGCCAGGCAGTATTTGCTTCGAGCCCGTGGGAAAGAAGACGGTGGCTACGTGGAAGTGGGTCGGGGATGGCAGAGGTTCTTATGAAAAGGTTGAGAACTTCGTGCCTTTGCTCAAGTAGTGATTAGTGGCTCATGTAATCATGTGGCTTCATGTGTTTATGCATGGGAGTGCAGCCCTAGTTCCACAGCGCCGAGGCCTACGTTGGTGAGAATGCTGGTAGCTTCGAGCGGAGGCTTGACGTCACCTATTCCAGGTGGAAAGCACGTGGGTGTGTTTTGGGCCTCTTATGCTGTCTACTCCTTGGTCTTGCTCTGTTTCTCGTACTCGGGCACTTCTTCCATCGACAATACCATGATGAACCCCAACCTCACCAAGACGACGTGTGGGACTGCACCAAAGACTTCTTCAATTGGCAGACCCTTTGGACAGTTCCTCATCAAGAATGGTGCTGCGTCCACTATGGTCGTGGCTGCCCTACCACCACACCCGCAACAACAAGTCCAGCTTTCGATTGTGATGCAGCCTTCAACAACTGGAGGGTTGCTTGGTCCAGTCAGAAGAAGGCATGGTGCTGCCACAAGCTAGGTCGTGGCTGTCCTCCACACATAACCACCCCGTACAACTGCCACACTGGCGATGTGGAAGTGTGGACGGTGGGAAAGCGCCTTTGGTGTTGCCAGAACTACGAGGTCAGCTGTCCAGATTACCACCCAAGCTTACCGTATGACTGCCATGCCGGACTTGAGAACTGGGTGGCAGGTTGGTCTGTGGGAAAGAAAGGATGGTGCTGTGCACACTACAAGCTTGGATGTGCACCAGTCACTCATCCTCCCACGGTTGCACATGGACAATATGACTGCCATGCAGGGTACAGCAACTGGAGGCTTGGATGGTCGGCCCACAAAAAACTCTGGTGCTGTCACCGGTTTCACAGAGGGTGCTCAGACGCACCTTATGATTGCGATGCCGGATATTCCAACTGGCAGTCTGGTTGGTCAACATCCAAGAAGGCGTGGTGCTGCCATCACACTCATCGCGGCTGCATCGTGTCGTTGCCATATGATTGCGACGCGGGGTACAGTAACTGGCAACTGGGTTGGTCTGCAAGCAAGAAATCTTGGTGCTGTGCGCACAGCCACCGTGGCTGTGGGGGACCTACGTATGATTGCAATGCTGGCTACTCGCATTGGATGTCCGTATGGACCCCTGCCAAGAAGGAATGGTGCTGCCATCACTACCATCATGGCTGTCCTCCAGCGTCAGTTCCCTACGACTGCGATGCTGGCTTCACCAATTGGCGGGCGGGGTGGTCGGACGGTAAGAAGAAATGGTGCTGCCACCATGCTAACCGAGGCTGCTCGCATATGCCCTACGACTGTGATGCCGGTTACTCCAACTGGCACCATGGCTGGTCGGATGAGAAGAAGAAGTGGTGCTGCCATCATTTCCATCGAGGCTGTGAGATATCATCCTACGATTGCGATGCTGGCTATGACGATTGGAAGAGCGTCTGGTCCAACAACAAAAAGTATTGGTGCTGCGAGCACTTTCAGAAAGGCTGTTCCCACTGGGACTGTGACAAAGACTACTCGGACTGGGTGCACGAATGGGGTGCCGAGAAGAAGCAATACTGTTGCAACAAGTACCATCGTGGCTGCTCGAGTGACAGCTCCTCTCTAGTATCCGCCGGATACGATATGCACCATGGGGTGGTCACTTCGTCTGACTTGACCCTGGGCCATGCCGCACCACCATTAAGCATGGTTCCGTACGGCTATCACTGGGTGCATGTCCTCCACCACGGTGAGATGAGATGGGTCGCAGTCCCCGACAAGCACCACATCTCTAACATCGGACATCCCCCCGGTGCACCCTTGGCGGGACATGCCTGGCAATGGCGTGAGCACAAGCACCATGGTGACCATGGTCATTGGTACCAGGTTTCCATGTTGCGCACACCTCACAGCTAACTCCACTATGGCTGTCTGCGGTGAAGTGCTCGAGTGAGAGTGGCAGGGCTGAGAACATCGGTGTGTTCATCCTAGCCAGCAGTGTTGACTTCACTGTTGCAAAAACTCTTCTGTGTGGCAGCCTTGCCAAGAGCGATTCGAACTTCGATTTCATTCCTCCTTGTTCTCGTGCAAACTCCAAAGTAGAGGGCACGAAGTGCACTTCTCAGTGAGCAACTCACCTTGGGCACACTATAACCTTGAGCCCTCGGTGATAATGCACATGCAAGCGGTCTCACTATTCTGTTAGCCAAAGTGCAGAGCCTGTAACTTCGCGGAGCCGTAGTCAAACTGCAAGATGCGTCATGGCAGGCTTGGCAGGACCGCGCCTGCTTTTGAAATCTGTCAGGTCCCAGTGCCGCCACCTGTGCGCGGCTTGTTTTTGGGGATGGATGGGGATTTTGGACGATGCTTTCCTTTCAGTTCTTGCCCAGGTGCAGGAACCTCCCCCTGTGCTCGCACCACCAAGACAACTGCCTCAGGCCACCGGCAAATTGGGACTTGCACCGTTGTTCTCTTTAACCTGTTCCAGCTTCCTCGTGGAGAAGATGGTCTTCCCTTGCAGTGTCGTTTGCGGTCATGCATCACTGTGTATATATCTCATACTTAGACTGCGCCGAGTGTACGATCCGCGTTTCAGTCGCAGGCAAGTTGGCACATCTATGTCTATGTCTGAGGTGACGCCTGCTCTTTTCACACCACCACCAGCAGATGCAGAGATCGCAAAGGCATGGATGATAGCTCGGCAGAGTATAGCATGCACAACCGCCCTGCATCCGGCTCCCCTGGCTCCTTCTTAGAAGGCCCTCAAGCCCAAGAAGAAGAAGAAGCCCAAGGCACGTACGCTCATGTTGTTCCGGAGTGGTGGCAAAACGTTTTTTTTTCTGCTTTGCAGTGTGCGAGCCCAGCATATCCCAGTGCTTCATGTCTGACATTTTGGATGACTTCGATGCTTGTGGCTGTGATAGACTTTGCCTGGCAAGGAAGACGAACGCCCTGCGGCTCGCCCGAAATCTCGCCCTGAAGGGTTCGGGACCCAGAGTGAACAGTTTTCGTGGACGGAAAAGATTTAGGGCAACGGCTTGCATTCAGGCTGGCGACCATCTCCGGCGAGGCCGCAGCACGGTTTCGCTGGGCGCGTTTCGGAATGCATGCCACGGCAGGCTTGGCCACCGCCACTGCCACGTGAAGAAAGTGATGTCGAAGCACTTAGCACTGAAGGATGTTGACAGGTGCGAGAGCTATGAAACACCTGTTGAGTGCTGCTGATGGAGGCCTCGGATGGTGGTCAGGACATTCCGCCACCGAAGGTGCACTGCAACGATGTGCTGGGCGATTGAAGAGCTTTCTTTGCATCAGCTCTGCAACAAACTTGTATTGGGGTCTCCTGGATTCAGAAGTTGAAGGCCAAATCTGGACCCGGTCCAGGCCAACGACCGTGCACTGCTCAGAACTCTTCGGGTGATGCAGGCTGCAGCCGAGATGGGCCGAGATGCAAGAATGAGGTTGACATCACCTCGACCAGAACGTCGACGCTCTGACAAGGTGGGCCTCTCAGAATCTTGCAAGAGACGCATGTCGGACCCTGCTTATGGGGCGGATGGCTGTTGTAAGGTGGTAGTGGCGGTGTACAGATGGAGCAGTCTAGATCCAGGTGGAGGTCTCCAGTGATGAGGAAGGTCCTGCTCCACGGTTGACACAGGCCTCTCGCACACATACCAGAGTCACCAGAGCCCGCTTCTGAATTCTGACAAGACTGGCCCTTCAGGCGAATGTGGCGAAAGTGTCAGCAGCGGCTGCTGTGGCTGTGGGTGTTTCGGAGACCTGCACGTGCAGATAGAAAGGCCCTCCTCATCTGGTCGCTCCGAACTCACTCAGGAGCCTGACGACGTGGATCCAGACTTGCGCAGCATCTCTCCGATTTCGACGTGTGGATCTTAGAGTGTCTCGTGAATGGCAGCAGCTTTCGAGACTTCGTTGGGTTGTGCTGTTGTCATGCAGTTTCGGTGAGCTGAGGCCTGGAGTCTTCCCCTGGCAGGTGGGGAAGAAGGCCCTCGTCGCCCAAGACCGTCCGAGCAACAAGTCATGCCCTGTGATCTCCAGGCAAAGAAGAAGCCAAGGCGAGCGATGTGAGTGCAAGCTGTCAGATGGCAGAGCTCCCTGCCACCAAGGGCAGAATCGCCATGCAGTGCAGAGGCTCAGGTGGCTGACTTCGCAAGAACCCGGAAAATCCAAGCCACCCTGCAGTATCATGCAGGTTCGCAAGAAGCGCAAAGGAGAGACGGGCAAAGCCACCAAGGTCAGGGACACCAGGGAGTAAAACAGGGACAATCTTCCAGTGCGAGGCAAAGAAGCTGCTGCTGACAGCACCAGGACAAGGCCAAAGCCAAGTCGCTTCTTCAGTGTCAAAGCTTCTCGTTTGACGGCCGAGCCTAGCAGATGCTATGCCAGGAATGCAGTGGGATCCCTACATGCCGCGAGCGACAGAGCCGCGTGAAGCTGAGACTGCAGCCTCACTCTAGATCGGCCAAAACACCCAAGACATTCTAAGCTAGCCGGTACGGGGTTTGTAGATGTCTCGACGTTTGCGGGAGTGACTTGAATCTTGAATCTGCAATGAAGGTTTGCAGTGACGAAGTCAGTATGCACGGGGAAACTCCGGCTACTGTTTGAGATGACAAGTGTTGCAGTGTATGTCGATGAGCTGTTAGACAGAGCACAGTCACGCAGACCCACACACACACACATTGCTACACGCGCCTAAAAACAGAAACACACACACACACACGCGCACACCCACACACTCTCTCAATCTCTGCACGTCTCTCTCTGTCTGTGTGTGTTTGGTTCATCACAAGTGGGTAAAGATTCTGAGCAGGGCCTCTACACACCCAAGGTCTCCGTCTCCTTGCTCAGCCATTCCAGGAAAAGCCAGCCGGGCACCATGCTCGCCGGTTCTGTCTAACAGTTTCGGAGTCACAAGAATGTTGCCACGGCTTTTCTCCAACACCTTGTTCCAATCGCAGTCTTTAAGGCCGCGGCAAGTCTTCCAAGGCCGGATCGAAATTGGGCAGAGCTGCTGCTGTGTGCTCGAACACGACATCAAGAATCATGCTCACTCCAGCTACCAGTATCGTTTAAGCATCCAACATGCTTGTTACTCGACGTGCACGAGGACGTTCGAGACCGTGTGTGGCCAAGCATTTGCCGTCTGCATTTCGCTACACAGAAGCGGAATGTTGTGCAGCTGAAGGTTTTGATCCTTCTCTGGGAAAGGATGCCAAAAGAGCAGGTCCGGGTATGTTGCCTTCTGGTGAGCCATGAGATCGGCGCTTGGGGCTCCTTGGCTCAGGCGAGAAGAAGAAGCGCACGAAGGAGAAGGAAGGGGGCGGTCTGCGCAAGGAGAAAAACGGCTTGTGAGAGACGTCGTATGACGGCTCGGTAGATCGAGCAGGGCCGAGCAAGGAGTTGCCACAAACAAACTGATCTCTGGACTTCTGGGCTGCAGCTGACAAAGAAAGTTCACAAAGTCATAATCATCCGTCAAGCGGCCCTTTTCCGCGATTTGTCGTCGTAGTCAACTCGCCACCTAGAATTGCCGGCTGCTTCAAGATCCAAAGAATGAGGGATATGTTAGGGGGTTAAAGAGAAAGAGTGCTTTGATTTCACGCATGGCCGCACCGGGCTGCCAGCTATGGCGATGTGGTTGGCATGTCCAGCCTCTGAGGCGATGCAATGAGGTGCCGCTGCGGGCTCATGTGATCTACCCAAGACCTAGCCTTTGGGAGGATGCGACAGAATTTGTTTCAGGGAGCACATCGCGAAACGTGAAGGCTTGCAAGTCTTGGGACGAGCAAGAGATTTTTGGCTTGGGACATGCTTGGCATCGCATCCAAAGGCCTTCGAAGCATTTTTTTCTGTCATCGCTCCATTGGAGCACTTTGTCGGTAGTAGGCCGAGCTCGTTGGCAGGCGAGGCGAAGACTTGCAGCCGAAAGCGAGGCCATCTGGCCGTCTCTATTGCTGCTTCTCGAGTTGCTCCAATGCTACTGCCAGTGCTGCTGCTGCTGCTGCTGCTGCTGCTGCTGCTGCTACCAACACTACATGTACGACATCAACTAATACTACCACCACTGCTGCTGCTGCTACTACGAC